ACTGAAGAAATCAAAGAAGAAATCAAAAAATACCTAGAAAGAAATGACAATGTAAACACGACAACCCAAAACCTATGGGATGCAGAAAAATCAGTTCTAAGAGGGAAGTTTATAACAAATACATTCCTGCCTCAAGAAACAAGAAAAATCTCAAATAAACAACCTAAACTTACACCTAAAGCAACTGGAGAAAGAAGAACAAAAAATCCCCTAAAGTTAGTAGAAGGAAAGAAATCATAAATACCAGATCAGAAATAAATGAAAAAGAAATGAAGGGGGCTTCCCTGGTGGCGCAGTGGTTGAGAGTCCGCCTGCTGATGCAGGGGACACGGGTTCATGTCCCGGTCCGGGAAGATCCCACATGCCACAGAGTGGCTGGGACCGTGAGCCGTGGCCTCTGAGCCTGCGCGTCTGGAGCCTGTGCTCCGCAATGGGAGAGGCCACAACAGTGAGAGGCCCATGAAACGCAAAAAAAAAAAAAGGAAGAAAAAAAGAAATGAAGGAAACAATGGCAAAGATCAATAAAACTAAAAGCTGGTTCTTTGAGAAGATAAGCAAAATTGATAAACCATTTCCAGACTCATCAAGAAAAAAAGGAAAAAGACTCAAATCAATAGAATTAGAAATGAAAACAGAGAAGTAACAACTAACACTGCAGAAATACAAAGAATCAGGATGGATTACTACAAGCAATTATATGCCAATAAAATGGACAACCTGGAAGAAATGAACAAATTCTTAGAAAAGCACAACCTTCTGAGACTGAACCAGGAAGAAATAGAATATATAAACAGACCAATCACAAGCACTGAAATTGAAACTGTGATTAAAAATCTTCCAACAAACAAAAGCCCGGGACCAGATGGCTTCACAGGCAAATTCTATCAAACATTTAGAGAAAAGCCAACAGCTATCCTTCTCAAACTCTTCCAAAATATAGCAGAGAGAGGAACACTCCCAAACTCATTCTATGAGGTCACCATCACCCTGATACCAAAACCAGACCAAGATGTCACAAAAAAACAAAACTACAGGCCAATAACACTGATAAACATAGATGCAAAAATCCTCAACATAATACTAGCAAACAGAATCCAGCAGCACATTAAAAGGATCATACACCATGATTAATTGGGGTTTATCCCAGGGATGCAAGGATTCTTCAAAATATGCAAATCAATCAATGTGATACACCATATTAACAAAGTGAAGGATAAAAACCATATGATCATCTCAATAGATGCAGAAAAAGCTTTCGACAAAATTCAACACCCATTTATGATAAAAACGCTCCAGAATGTAGGCATAAGGGAACTTACCTCAGCACAATAAGGCCATATATCACAAACGCACTGCTAACGTCATTCTCAATAGTGAAAAACTGAAACCATTTTCTCTAAAATCAGGAACAAGACAAGGTTGCCCACTCTCACTGCTATTATTCAACATAGTTTTGGAAGTTTTATCCACAGTAATCAGAGAAGAGAAAGAAATATAAAGAATCCAAATCGGAAAAGAAGAAGTAAAGCTGTCACTGTTTCCAGATGACATGATACTATACATAGAGAATCCTAAAGATGCTACCAGAAAACTACTAGAGCTAATCAGTGAATTTGGTAAAGTAGCAGGATGCAAAATTACTGCACAGAAATCTCTTGCATTCCTATACACTAATGATGAAAAATCTGAAAGAGGAATTAAGGAAACACTCCCATTTACCACTGCAACAGAAAGAATAAAATACCTAGGAATAAACCTAACTAAGGACACAAAAGACCTGTATGCAGAAAACTATAAGACACTGATGAAAGAAATTAAAGATGATACAAACAGATGGAGAGAAATACCATGTTCTTGGATTGGAAGAATCAACATTGTTAAAATGACTCTACTACCCAGAGCAATCTACAGATTCAATGCAATCCCTATCATATTACTGATGGCATTTTTTACAGAAGTAGAACAAAAAATTTCACATTGTATATGGTAACACATAAGACCCTGAATAGCCAAAGCAATCTTTGGGAAAGAAAAACTAAGCTGGAGGAATCAGGCTCCCTGGCTCAGATTATACTACAAAGCTATAGTAATCAAGACAGTCTGGTACTGTCACAAAAACAAAATATAGATCAATGGAACAGGATAGAAAGCCCAGAGAGAAACCCATGCACATATGGTCACCTTATTTTTGATAAAGGAGGCAAGAATATACAATGGAGAAAAGACAGCCTCTTTTCTGGGAAAACTGGGCAGCTATGTGTAAAAGAATGAAATTAGAACACTCCCTAACAACATACACAAAAATAAACTCAAAGTGGATTAAAGACCTAAATGTAAGGCCAGACACTATAAAAATCTTAGAGGAAAACATAGGCAGAACACTCTATGACATAAATCACAGCAAGATCCTTTTTGACCCACCTCCTAGAGAAATGGAAATAAAAACAAAAATAAACAAATGGGACCTAATGAAACTTAAAAGCTTTTGCACAGCAAAGGAGACAATGAACAAGAGGAAAAGACAACCCTCAGAATGGAAGAAAATATTTGCAAATGAAGCAACTGACAAAAGATTAATCTCCAAAATTTACAAGCAGCTCATGCAGCTCAAAATGACAACCCAATCCAAAAACGGGCAGAAGACCTAAATAGACATTTCTCCAAAGAAGATATACGGACTGAAAGGATGCTCAACATCACTAATCATTAGAGGAATGCAAATCAAAACTACAATGAGTTATCACCTCACACTGGTCAGAATGTCCATCATCAAAATATCTACCAAAAATAAATGCTGGAGAGAGTGTGGAGGAAAGGGAACCCTCTTGCACTGTTGGTGGGAATGTAAATTGATACAGCCACTATGGAAAACAGTATGGAGGTTCCTTAAAAAACTAAAAATAGAACTACCATACAATCCAGCAATCCCACTACTGGGCATATACCCTGAAAAAACCATAATTCAAAAAGAGTCATGTACCACAATGTTCATTGTAGCACTATTTATAATAACCAGGACAGGGAAGCAACCTACATGTCCATTGACAGATGAATGGATAAAGAAGATGTGGCATATATATACAATGGAATACTACTCAGCCACAAAAAGAAATGAAATTGAGTATTTGTAATGAGGTAGATGGACTTGGAGTCTGTCATACAGAGTGAAGTAAGTCAGAAAGAGAAAAACAAATACCGTATGCTAACAAATATATGTGGAATCTAAAAAAAAAGAAAAGGTTCTAAAAAACATAGGGGCAGTTCAGGCATAAAGACATAGACGTACGGAATGGACTTGAGGACACGGGGAGGGGAAGGGTAAGCTGGGATGAAGTGAGAGAGTGGCATGGACATATATACACTACCAAATGTAAAATAGATAGCTAGTGGGAAGCAGCCACATAGCACAGCGAGATCAGCTCGGTGCTTTGTGACCACCTAGAGGGGTGGGATAGGGAGGGTGGGAGGGAGATGCAAGTGGGAGGGGATATGGGGATATATGTATATGTAAAGCTGATTCACTTTGTTATACAGCAGCAACTAACACAGCAATGTAAAGCAATTATGCTTCAATAAAAATGTTAAAAAAAAGAAAAAGAAAACAACCTGGGGAGTTCCCTCGCAGTCCAGTGGTTAGGACTCTGTGATTCCACTGCCCGGGGCCTGCGTTTGATCCCTGGTTGGGGAGCTAAGATCCTGCAAGCAGTGCAGCCAATTTAAATAAATAAATAAACAAATAAAGTGAACACATGTCCCTAGCCTTTAAAAAATATATGAATGAAACTTCTGATTATGAAAAATTGAACGTTTGAAATGAGAAATTTCAAAGAATGAATGTCAAAAACTCCATTGACAGACGAATGGATAAAGATGTGGTACATATATATAATGGAATATTACTCAGCCATAAAAAGGAAAAATATTGGGTCATTTGCAGAGACGTGGATTGATCTAGAGACTATCATACACAGTGAAGTAAGTCATAAAGAGAAAAACAAATATCGTATATTAACACATATATGTGGAATCTAGAAAAATGGTACAGATGAACCGGTTTGCAGGGCAGAAATTGAGACACAGATGTAGAGAACAAACGTATGGACACAAAGCAGGGAAAGCGACAGGGAGCGGTGGTGGTGGTGTGATGAATTGGAAGATTGGGATTGACATGTATACACTGATGTGTATAAAGTGTATGACTAATAAGAACCTGCTGTATAAAAAATAAATTAAATTAAATTAAAAAAAAAAAGTCAAAAACTTCACTGACCTGTGAGGCCCATGGGATTTCACCTACTACTGTCCCCTCTTGCCCCAGGCCTCAGGGACTTTGTGCTGACTGCTCCCTCTGCCTGGAGCACACTGTCCAGATTCTGTCTGACTTGCTCCCTCACTCCCTCAAGTCTGTGCTCAAACGTCCCCTTCTCACAGAGGGCCTCCCTGGCTATCCCATGTAAACCCATATTCTCCGACCGACATAACCTCCTTCCCTGCTTTATATTTTACCATAAAGTTTTTCACCATCTAACTTGCTCTACTTTTAATGTATGTGTTTTGGGGGGAGGTATTTGGTCAGTTTTGCTCACTACACTATAACCTTCATGAGGGCAAAGATTTTTTTCCCTGTGTTCACCACTGTCTCCCTAACATCTACTGCAGTTTCTGGCACGTAGTAAGTGCTCAAAGAATATTTGTCAAATGAATAGTTTAGAAAAATAACTCTGGCTCCAATGTATATTATTCGTCTATTATGACACAAAAGATATAGAAAAGATACAATATAACGTATCTCTTCGTATTATACCTTCTGGCATCAATATATATCTTCATATTAGTAGTTGTATGTTCTCAGCATTTCCTTCCTCCTTTTCTCTCTTACTAATAACCCAAAGACTATTTTTGCCCTCCCCTGATCAACACAGAAACCAAAACAAAGACTCAAAGTATTAACAGGGGTCTTAAGATGGCTGCTGGACAGCCAGCTATGGACCGCAGAAAAGATGTGGAGTGGGCTGCTACCTCCTGGCCTAAATTAAAGTGATGTTGAGTTGAATTCTGATGATGAAGCCACAGTAGAGAGCTCTGAACTTAACTTACAAGAAGGTAAAGAAGATGGGACCATTACGAACACAGAGGTCTCAGATATCCCTACAGATGGACCAAAAACTGAAGCAGAGACAAATGTAAATGCATATGAAGAGTGTCCCTCTGGAATTCCCTTAAATATGTGGAATAAATTTCAAGAACTGCATACAAAACATTCTGAACAGAAAACCTCAGCTTCAAGATCCAGAAAGAAAAAAAGAAAACGCTCCAGAAAAGGTAAATTGAAGAATGAAGAAGAATCTCAAAGTGAACAGTCCTCAAGTGAAACCCAGTGGAAGGAGCTTACTCAGTATTTTGGAGTCAACGATAGGTTTGACTCCCCTGTTAAAAGGAAAAAAATTGCAAAGTCGGGCCTTGAAAAGAGCATAGACCAGGCTGTGGAAGAGTGGAACATTGAGAAGGCTGAGGAACTCAGCAATCAGGTAGCTACTCGAGAGCTTGGTGCAAAAATTGCCAAAGTGATTGCCTGCCACAACTTTGTAAAAGCCAAAAAGGATGCTGAAAATTCACAGGTTGCTCAAAAAAAGAAGAAACTTGCCTGGGGGTTTGAAGCAAAGAAGAGGTGAGAAACCAAAAGCAACATGGGATATATGTGACTTGCCAGAGATCTTCAAGACATTTGAGATTTCACTTGAATCTTCAGTTGCTTAATTTACTGAAAAGATTTTCCTGTTCATGTTAACTATGTCAGGAAATTGATGGAAATAGAAAAAAACAAGCATAAAATTTGGAAGTTGATTAGCAAAAAAAAAAAAGTATTAACGGAAATGCAAAACAGAAAATTCGGTTGCAATGCACAGTTTTTTTCTTCCTGCTCCTAAAGATTAGTTAAGGCCATATTTGTGGGAAGCAGAGAAGAAAGTTCAGTAGTGACTAACTAAAAAAGAAGGAAGGGCTGAGGCCTCAGAAGTAGGAGGGAAGAACAGGACCATCTGAAGGAGCACCAAGAAGCTAAAAGGAGCCACCCTGGGTGGCCCTACACTGCACACTTTGCCCTAAATGGAGAGATGGACCCTTTTTGTGAGGTAGGACATGAAGAAAAGATTCACGCTTCTGATAAAATGGAACCAAACAGAACCACGTAGGAATTTCCCTAATAGATGAGATTTTTTTTAAACGAGAAAAATTAAAGAGCAGTACTGACTGGTGAGCATAGAACTGGAATGCAAACATAATTTTCTTTGCCTATAAACTATTTAATGGCACAAGGAATCTCATGCCAAAGGCTTGGATAAGACAAGGGACCTAATCCACTCTAAGAAGAAAAGCACAGTCAAATTCTCATTAAAGTTAGAATTTTTAATAATTCCTACTATCATTTCTTCTTCAATAACAAGAACTTCTTATATCTTAGTCATTTGATGACCCTGAATGTGCAATTCTGATTATTCCTTAGAACACTTTTTTGTAAATTCTATTCCTAGGACCTCTGCCTCTAGAAAAATTGTCTTCTTATATCCTTGGTATTGGAAGAGATCAATCTCAACCTGCCAAAGCAGTGGTAATCCCCCAGAGGGCTTGTAAAACACACCGAAGGTGGGCCCCACTCTCAGAGGTTCTGATTCATAGGCTTGAGTTGAGGCCTGAGCATTTGCATTTCTAACAAACTCCTGGGTGATACCAGTGCTGCTGGTCCAGGTACCACACTTTAAGAACCACTGACTGAAGTATTGTATTTAATTTTTAAAGAGTTATAAGCATCTTTGGCTTCAATTAGCTGCTTTGTCTCTCTTATACAACTTGTATCCTTAGTTGCTGGCACAGGGTGGGCTCTCAGTAAATATTTCTTGAATGAATGAGATAGGCTTGTTTCCAAAATCATACAAAAACAATCAGATATCATTACATCCATATTGAATTTTTTACCAGTTATAAAGATAGAACTTCTACATCATGAACATACTTTGTAAATGAAAAAGATATTTATAGAATAAGGCTTAGTTTTCTGTGTTATTTAATAAGTTGAGACTTTTATTTTATGCCATAAAAAATAGGTGTTAAAATACTTTCTTTAATTATCCTGAGCTAATGGGAAAGTTGAACTGATATATAAATCATTAACCAAGTCAACGAAAGACTGACATCACTGTTTGCAGTACCAACCCAAGTTTCACAGTAGTTCAGAAACAAAAAAGGAAGGGAGGGTGCAAATACTTGAGGCATCGCATCATATACAGCAATATAGCAAATGTTGAAAACAAAAAAACCTGGGCTAGATCATCACCATACACTTGTCATAAGCTAAGGTTTTTGCACAGATGCCATATTTGTATGCAGTAGCTGGTTAACAGTAACAACATGCAGTAAAGAATAATATTTTATTAAATAATATTTTTAATTTTTTAATATTATACTATGTGATACACAATTACATTTGGGGGTTATCAAAAAAAGAGACTGTCATTTGAAACTAATTTGTTTCTAAAAGAGGAAAAAGAAACCAGTAACTATATCGATGACTCAAATGATGGTGCATCATACGCAAAGAATCAAGTAAACAAGTGAAACAAAAATTTAAAAACCCTTTCTACCCTAAAACTAAATACCAGGGATTTATTTTCAGCAGAACCACACCATCTATCACGTTAATTTAATGTTCATTTGAACTTTATTATTTTAATTTGATTGGTATTTAATTTGTAAATCTGTTGGCTTTATAATTATATAAAAACTATAAACACGAAGATGTTATATAGTATTTTATGTGTGTACATATTTAAATAATTTTATTTAAAAAAAATGTTTACTGATGAGAATTTACTGATGAGAATATTGTCCCTGTAATTAGTTCCATAGTCATTATCCAATGTTATCATTGTCTTAGTCATCTTTCCTATCTCTAATCTTGCCTCTATTCCTTTCCCTACATTGCAGGAATATGCAGCCAGTGTGATAGATATAAAATATAAATCTTATAATGGCCCCTTCCTCTGATACACTTTGCAATGGCTCCCTCTTTTTGTCTGGATAAATTCTAGTTCCCTAAGATGACATAGAACATCCTTCATGACCTGGCTCCTTCTTATCTCTCCAGACTCATGGCTGACATCTCCTCACCTCCACCCGTAGTCACTTGGACCACTAGTGATTCACTATGTTTGTTCTCTTTTGTACAAAGCCTTTGTTTGAGCTGTTGCATCTGCCAAGAATGCTAGTCCCATAATCCCACTGGACTTGCTTAACTCCATGTTGTTCGTAAGACTCAGCTTGGATGTCAATTCCTCTCTAAGTTTTTGCTGATCCCCTCCACAGCACTCTAGATTATCCATAACAATATTCATCACACTCAGTTATTATGTTCTGTTTTCTTGTTTGTGTTCCCCAAGAGTTTGTGGACATTTCTAGAGAAGGAGCTGTATCAATATTAACATTATTGAATTCCTCCCAAAATCTTGGCATACATATACTAAGCAAACTTTTTAAAATATAAGAATAAAATTCAATGATAGAATAAATAGGTCTGAATTTTCTATAATTTTTTTTTTTTGGCTGTACTGCACGGCATGCGGGATCTCAGTTCCCGGACCAGGGATTGAAACCACACCTCCTGCAGTGGAAATATGGAGTCTTAACCAATGCACCACCAGGGAAGTCCCATGAATTTTCTATAATTTTTAAATAAATCGAGCCGCTGTCACATTAACCACCACTGAGACCCTCCTCTAGCCACGAGGAAGATTGGAGTGCTGAGTAAATACCTGAAGCCATTCCCCAATGATGCCTTCACTCCTTGAAGACACTAAATACCCAAGTGCTTGAACTAAGAACTGCTCCACTGTCTCCTGCCCTGGGAGCTCCATGAGGGTAGCAACTGTATTCCACTGCATCTCAGTGCCAAGCACATGGTAGATGCTTAGTAAACATTGGTTGCCTATTGTAACCTAATTATGGTTACTGACAAGCCTTATTTCTGGCCATTAGTGCACGGTCAAATTTAATTCAGACGGCCAACTGGATATTGGTTCCTGAACTGTCAGTGACTCACCCAAATATACTTTTACTCCCCATCACCTTCCCTTCTGTTTTTGTTTTCTTCTTCGTTTGTACTCAACTTCCAGAAACTTAAGGCAGATGATGGGCAGAGTGGTTTTGATTTAGTTCTTTGTTTTTCTTTATGGAGAGAAGAGGTAGGAAAGATGAGAAATTTGGAGAAATGAGGATAGGAAAACTAGAAAGACATTTTCAGCTTTCCTCCACCCCCCATCAAGCCAATATTAACAGTCAGTGCTAACGTAACCTCTAAATTTCTACTTATAAAAAAAGAAACCTGAAGGGCCTACCAATTATTTGATTACTTGTGGGATATGACCTCCTTGTTATGTGTCTACAATTTGAAGCAATTTGTTAGTGCAATAAATATGAACTAGCCTAAAATAAGTAAATTAGTTTTTCAGAATAAAAGTAGTAATAATAATACCTTATTCATTTTGCAACTTTAAATATGTGAATATTCATGAAAGGGAATTTTTAAAGTATTTTAAATAAAAACTGAAAGGAAAAGAGATTACAGACTTGATTTTGGCAGCATATAGATATGGCAATATAATATTAATTTATCTAAGTACTTTGTAAATTTATTATCCAGATTTCCTTTCTCTTAAACTATCAAAACTAGCGGTTAAAGGCAAAAACTAAAAATTACTGTTATACTACTTACAAAGAAAGGACCTGGGAAGAGGATTTAATTATAGTATTTGAGAGCAGAAACACTACCCTTAATCACTGTTCATGAATTTGCTAAACTGGAATATAATATGGTAAACACTGTTCAAATCTTTCAAAAGAGATACTATACATTTCTTATTATAAGAAGTTTATGAGGATTAACTAGTTAATATATGTAAAGAATTTTAAGATGAAATGTTTCCCTCCCTCCCTTCAAATGTCACTGAAATCACTAAACAAGTGACAATCAATACTCCCTTCTTAAAGTCTGCTGTGCAATTATCTAATTTTCCATGTTAGAACTAAAATTTGAGCCCCATATCCATGAATAAAAATGTTCAGTTCTTTTTAAAAAAATACCTATAATATTATTCAGATCAATTTGGAGTTTTCAAAGACAAAAAATGCCCATCCTAAGAATGATATTATTGAGATTACTGGACCACATTCACGTTCCAGAATTTGATGTAATACACAAATACCCAATTTAAAATTTCTCTACAATGAGAAAAGATTTAGAACAATACAAAATATTTATTATTTATAGAGCAGCTTCAAAACTCCATGTGGTATATTTGTACAGGTTTTTTTTAATGTCTCTCTTAAAAGCAATGGGATATTTAGGATTGATTATTCCTGGCACTCATTTTGCATATTTGCCTTTCGACCCTCTGGAATTTGAGGCTACTGGCAAGATAACTATGTATCTGAGTTCAGACTCTGGTAGCAACAAGTGAGAGTCTCGAGTGACAGGCTCTCTCTCTGTGGCAACATCTTGAGGTAAAGATAGCAAATTTTAAAAGTATAAGAAAATAAGCCAAACCTAAGGGGAAAAAAGCGGGGGAGGAGAGTGGAAATGAGGAAGGCATAGAGTGTAATTCTGAAAGGTTCTGAACAAGTTCCGTGAAAGAGCGTGAAGCCCCAGAGCAGGTTTCCTCAA